CCCATCTCATCCTCTGCCGTCCTCTTCTCCTTTTGCCTTCAATCTTTCACAGCATTAAGGTCTTTTCCAAAGAGTCCTCTCTTCGCATATAAACAGGTTTACACCACATTTAAAGTTTGAGTTTCCCTAATGTAATATAGAAATATTTAATTTCCTAATGATTTTCTTTATAATTTGAGGTATATTGGTTACAGTTGTTAATTATTGTGTAATAACCTGGTTTAAATATTAGCTTATTCTACTATTGACATAAAATTTCAAATTGATACATGGTATTCTAATATAGAAAACATATTAATGTTTTGAAACATTTTAGCTACTTTTATAATGTTTGTAAATCTCCCCTTTCATCAATTTTCTATTCTATTTGTTTTTTTCTTATTCTTTCTTTGTATTTGTAAAATTTAAAATGTAATAAATTATGAATACACACACACAGACACACACACGCCTGTTTGCAATATAAAAGAAGGTATGTGAAAACCTTTTCTATTTGATGGTTGCATTACTTTACAGAAATCTTCAGGCAAGGGGACCCATATATTTGAAAACTATACTCACTCATATAGTATATCATACAGGTAGTCCTTGCTTAACGGCCATTTGTTTAGTGACCATTCAAAGTTACAATGGCACTAAAAAATTTACTTATGCTGGTGTCTGAAGTTACGACTGTTGAAGCACCCCTGCAGTCAAGTGACTGAGATCCAGTCACTTGGCAACCAGCTCACAACAGTTCAAGCATCCTGGGTCACATGATCACTATTTGAGACCTTCCTAGCCAGCTTCCAGCAAACAAAATCAGTGGGGAACCACATGATTCACTTAATGACCAGGTGATTCAGTTAACAACCATGGTGATTCTCTTAACCACTCATCCTCTTGTAGTTCCCACCCTCCATTGGCGAGCTAAGAAAATGCTTATCTCCCTGAGCCTGGCCTTCATAATTCCATTCCATCACAGTAATTCAGTATTACTCAGAAATTTGTTCGGAATTTTGCTGATTACAGCATTACTCAGATTTGTATATGATCAATCCACATCTCTATTGCAACATCCAGACCATACCAAAGTAAATTAGGGCTTTCATAATCTCAAAATCTCAAAACTAGGTTTTCCAAGCAACTTACATTTCTAGGACACAGTCTGGAACTGAAGATCTTCTTTATGCAGGAGACCAAATGAGAGTGATGATTCTCATCCAAGCCATCAAAATTTCTGAAAGCGAGAACGACTACCTCCCAAGGATGGTTTCTCAGCCATCTTAAAATATCCCACAGAACAACCTATAAAAATCAATGTAAGATTGGAAAAATGCAGAGTGAGACATGGCTTTGTGCCATGAGGAAAGTGAAGCAATCGATCATTGGCTAGTTTCTCAACGATATTGTATCATACTATCAGACCAGGAAATGTTCATTACACAGGATGTTCCTTGTGAATTGGACCCTTGCTAATTGCATATTCTTTCCTGTTTGATGTATATAAACTTGTAGCAGGTGGTGATCATCTATCAAGACATACAAAATCCAACTAAATGTTACCATAACTATAAAATATTATCTACATTGTGATTCCTAGGAAGCTTGGCTTTAATGTTATAACTTACAATGTTTTATAAAGTATTTGTAGTCCAACAATTCTGAAAATTACTATGTTGAAAAAGGCTATCCTTTTTGAAAAAGCACTGTCCCAAGATATATGAACAATGCTACTCTTTTCTCCAGAACTGTTAGAAAGAGTGCTGTTTAATTCCAGCCCAGATCCTAAGCAGATAGCTGAAACTCTGCAGCATATTTCTGCACAGAATACTTATCGTGGTCAATTATTTGGGAGTCACTTTCTTGACTGGATCCTCAAATTTAGTTGTCAAGCGTTCTACAAAATTCATGTAGTTATCAAAACCTAAGCCAGCTTGAATCAGGGGGTACCCACTTTATGGTTCCCTAAATCATTAGGCTAATTCTATGCAGATCACTGGAAAATCATCTGGCCTTGTTCACATTGGGCAAGGAAGGCAGTACATTGGCTTAGATTTCCAACAGATTTGTTTGGCAAGAAAAGAGGGACTTCCCATTGAATGGCTACTACATTTGCTGCAGAAGCTGTATCAGTACCATTGGCAGAGTCAGCCTGGCCCCCCATTGGGAGGGCTTACTTAGGATGGTTGATTTGGGCAAGTTGGTCATTATTTTGGCTGATCCACCTGGGTCGCCATTTCATTCTGACAATGGAACAAGTCACTGGCCATTTGTGGAATTAGCAGAGGGCAAGTAACCAAAATGTTAAGGCTTAATCTCTAGGCAACAGCAGCAACGAGGTAAGACTGGCAATCAAGCTGTCAGACTCTTGACTTTTCATGACTCAACTTGCTTCCTAGGCTAGCCATGGCAGAAGTCTTGCAGCAGTGTTTGATTAGAAAAGAATACTTAATGCAAAGAAGAATGAAACCGAAGTGTGAAGGCATAACTGCTGCTTATATGTGCAGTGGTTTAGACCCAAACCGTTTTCATCCCATGAATTAATGGACTCTTTGCATAATGCCCCCTCCCGGTGGTACTGAAGTTGAGCAGTTGTTGAGCATTTGCACAATTTCCAACCCTGCTCTGAGTACCACTAGCTCTTGGTGTACCTTTCACATTACTTTTGATTTAATTTGGATAACTTTGAAACCATAGTTGGGGTTGGAACCAATTAAGGGCAACAGAAATCTTCCTTCCCTGAAAATAGGACTTCAAAAGGGCAGACATTTCAGACAATACAGTGGGGAGGGGGTGTTAAATGAGTGTTAACTTTCCTTTGCAAATCTGCATTTCAATGTCAATAAAGTCAAAAACCATTTTTCCATAAAATTGTTCATGAAGCAGCATAGCAAGAAAATACCTGATTAAGTAATGCTGTTTCTAATCTATTTAGATAATGCTAATGCTGATACATATATATAGTCTTCCAGCCTAAGAAGGCCAAAATCCATTAAAAAATTAATTTGAAGTCATTGTTCCACATTGTTTGCACCTAGAGGGATGACCCAAGGAATTTTGCTAAACTTAGTCATGTGATTCAGAACAGCTTATTTTTTTACTTAGTAGGAACTGTATGCTATAATTGCTGTTCAGCACACTGTGGAATCTTAATTTTCCAGTAGAGCAAAATGGGTAACTGAATGTCACATGAAGCTGCTGTGGCATGCCTGAGTCAATATGATCATTTCTGAATCTTTACTAAGCACAAGTTTTGGAGTTGATTCAAACAACAGTTATCAGCAAATCCATATGTTGAGAACTGGCCACTTCTTGACTTAATGCATTGGGTTTTATCCAGACCAAGTTGCTTTAATATACATCCTATTGAAATCAATGGGGCAAATCAGTTATGGGTTGATTTAAATTAATTTTAATGGAAGCTAAGTGAATTATCCATCCTATCCTATGAAACTTCTAAACCTCACCACTGAAAATCATGTTCAGTTCAACTGCATTTTCAAAATTACCATATCTATGCATAAGATTACACATGCTTAATTTTCATATTGAAATCATCAGACACATCCACCAATTTGAATGGGAGTAAGCATAGCCAACTTTTCTGGTCTCAGCTATTCATTTCTAGCTCTCCAACCTCATCAGTGGCCACCTAAGTTTTGCTATGAGTCCTCATTAACTTCAGTTTAGCCAACATTATATATCTTACCATAATCTTTAGTCATTCAGCGGCTTGGTACCCACCTCCAGCCTTCAGAAGGTATCATAAGTGGAACAATGCGATAACTCTTTCAGTCATAGATGAATGGCAACCAAATACACATGTTTTGAAGCGAATAATCTAGCAAACCAACCTCACTTTGGGACCAGTGGGAGACTGCAGAGCACTGTTTGCAGTATCCATAAAATCTGACATGGCTTTATGTAAGCAAGTTAATTTGGTATCTTCCTGCTCCATTTAAGATAATGCTGTGACAAAATCTGCCATCCAATTTTCCAGAAGGTTTTCTTTCTTCACAAGGTAGTTTCTATTTCTATATCTCACTCTTGGGATACTTTAAAATTTCTTTTGTATTTCTTTTGGTGGAGTGTTTGACCTTACTTTACTCCTGCAAGATGGCAGGGGGTGGTATTTAGGACACAGCCTGTAAACTCTAAAAGCCATTGACAGAACTGCAGGAAATTCCTGCTCCCGGCATTAGATAGCCACCAAAAGTTTTATGTTGGTGCACAAGTTAAAAAAAAACTAAAAATTCTAAAAATAAATCTAAAAATGCCTAACAACCAAAATGGGACCCAAAAAAATGGTAAACATTTGAATTTCTAGAGCTCTTCAAAAGATATGATGGTGTTGGGCAAGAAGCCAAAAGTTCTACACTTCAGCATGTCTCAACCATGAGATCATGAAGTTCAAAGTCAGTTTCAAAATGGAGATTCTGGACTGGTCTCAGATTGCACTCTACAAGTCTTTGATAAAACCCATAATGTTTCTAACACAAAATAAATGGAACGTTGTCCTCTTTCATCCAAAGGTTTTGCTCATGGTTGGTGTTGTCCATATGAGGGATCAATACCTAGCTTTTAAGGACAAAGAAAATAGTTGTTTCCCAAGTTCTGAAAACACAAAAGCCATTAGTCTCCACTCTGCCAGAACAGGGAAGAAAGCCAGAAGCATCTTACTACCACAAAGCTGAGTTTCCTCACCTCTGCACAGAAGGGCCAGTTCATAACCCATATTCTTTAAACAGCATATTTTACTTAAAAGAATGATTTCTATAGAATTCAGTTAAGAAACTGTACCTCTACTTCCACTGTTGTATATAACATGTGAACAAAGTACAATTTCATGGAAGGATCATCAGGTTTGTGAGCAATTCTAAAATCAAAGTACCTAATTCCAGCATTCAGTTGTTCCAACACAGTCAGATCCTGAAAAGTTAAAAAAACAAATATTTCCAAAATGTTTGCAAGAAATATATATTTACGTTTCAGGGGTATACATTTCATACGTTTTAAAGAGTTTTCGGGAAGACGATGGTCTCAGATTGCACTCTACAAGTCTTTGATAAAAGCCATAATGTTTCTAACACAAAATAAATGGAACGTTGTCCTCTTTCATCCAAAGGTTTTGCTCCTCCTTATGATACCTGTATCATGCTATGTATTTCAGAAACAAAAAGTGAATAAGCAAGTTTAATATTGTAAAAACAGACTTCCAAAAAGAAAAAGTCTGAGAAATGTTTACCTGTGTTATTGACCATCTCAAAATAATAGGGTGCACTATCCAATGCATATGTTTATCCATAAACTGCAACAATTTGGATCCATTTACACTGACTTTTGACTCCTTATCCAGACAATATGTCATTGCATCATGACTACCTACAAAGGAATAAAGACAAAGTCAACCTAATTCTAATATTTGTCAGCTTTTTCAAATCACTACACCAAAGTTCGCCTCTAAAATTCTACTTACTTTAATATAATTCCCAGTGTACTATCAGGGATTGTTTAAGTAATAAATCTCACCTGAGAGCAAAGGGGTGGCATATGATTCATTAAAATTAAATTTTTAAAAAAATCAAGAAAGTATGTCTTCTTCAGTAGATGGTAGGTGACAAAGTAAGCTAAAACACACTTCTTTTCAGTAAAACAATCCTTTAATCTCTATATCAAGTTTGGTAAGTGCCACCTAAGAATGCCTGGATGGATCAGATGTACCCCTAACACCAATCATCTCTTGGGACTTCTATGGTGCAGGAATTTGTTCAATATGATCTTCCTGGATTCTTCCTTAATGTATTTCTTGAAGTATTATGCCAATGAGTGTGATTTCATCACACCTTAATTTAGGGACTGATGCTTGTAGAACTTGGCTGGAGAAGTCATCAGAGCAACTTTTATTTCATAGGGTTTAAATTCCTCTATGAAAGCTATCTTGGGAAGTCTTATGCACTTCTTTAAATAAGGTCTTATGGAGGTCGGGAAACTGAAATGAAAAAAATAGCTCCATCTGGTTCTCAGCCTCAATGGCATGATACACCCCACCCACCCAATTGGATGGGTTGCCAACTATAGGCTGAGCAAGGAAAGGAAAGGATCCTTTTGTGGCCTTGGTGATTTTTTTCCCCTTGGGCGTGCTTTAAAACCTGGAATCCACTAACATCCTTGTATTTTACATAAATTTTGACAAGCTGCACAGAACATAATAGAATGTTTCTAGATCTAGACTAAAGCAAGATGTATCTGTGACACTGGGCAAATCCAACCCCTTATATTTCTACACTTTTTGAAGAAATGTGTTGCAAAGATATCAAGCAGTTGAAAAGGTAATGTTAAATATAACACACTCTTATATTTAAACAATACTTTCCAATTATCTAATATTTTGTTTCAAAACAGTGCATTACTTACCTGGTAATGACAGGTTAGAGAGAGGTACAGCCCAGAGACTTTCTGGTAAATCAGACATCCACTGATCAGCTTCTCTGCCCAAATTAATGGATTCCTTTTTTGGATGTTCCTTCCTTTTTCCCATTTTGAATAATGTCCTAGAAAAATGTCTAAACAAAGAATAGTGTAGGTGTTAACTCTGTTCTGCAGATGCAAATATAATTCACCCAGCATCCTCGCATGCCTCCCACCCTGATGATGTTTTGAAAGTTCTTCAAAATCCAGCTCTTCTCCCAGGCTGTGAGGTGAAGCAGCTGCCAAGCTCCTGTAAGCTGTTTTTCTTGTTATGTATGGCTTTCTCTTCTGGATGCGCATAATCTATTTCTTGGTTTTTTGTTTCTTGCTTTTCAAGTGCAAACTACTCAAAGTAATTTGGATTTGGGTGGAATATATATCTCTCTGACATATATATATACATATATATATATGTGTGTGTGTGTGTGTGTGTGTGTGTGTGATATATATACATATATATATATGACATACATATATGTGTGTGTGTGTGTTTTATGCTGTATTATTTATGTTTTTATCGGTTTTAAATTGTTTGGTTGTGAACCGCCCAGAGTCCCTCCTTGTGGGGGAGCTGGGCAGTGACATAATTTGATATATAAATATAAATATATATGTATATATGTATA